CCCAATCTGCAAATAATGTTAGCAGCAATCACTATTTCTGATGGTTCCCCTTTGTTCATTCTTCACAACATCAGACAGAGTATTAACACAAAAAGTTACAAAGGTTAATCTTGAATTCAAAATAGCTATAGTCCCAGTGGAGAAACATGTGCTTCAAAGTCTATGAAGTTGAATGTCAAGAAACCATACTTCTTCATATAGCATTAGTCTGAGAAATCAAAAGGTTTTATAGAGGCATTCCCTCAAAGGACAGGGTCTTGGTTAAAAGAGACCCTGGTGCGTGCCTCAATTATGAGTGCCAGCTGCTCCTGTGGGACGCGCACAGGGCTTCCAGACTGGTGGAGGCAACGTGAGACTCAAATGAGACACACAGACGATCCCTGACATTCCAGAACCCTCTCCAAGTGGTGTGCAGGGGCTCGTGAACTGGTGGCTGTGGTTCAGGCTCCCCCCTAAGATTCAAGGCCTATTTTCCCTACCTGTGACGAGAGGGTTCTGTCTGAGGTAACTTGGAAGGACGAGCCCAAAGAAGATCGAAAATCCAAGGACAAAGAGGTTCCGGGAAGAGTTTAGATCAATGAACTGCAGGTTGGAGAGTCCAACAGCTGTGATCATTCCTGGAGAGAAAGACACCAGACGGCAAGTTCCACGGAGCTCAGCTACAATGGGTGACAAATGACTTATGGCCATCAAAAGCAGCATCCCTACCAGGCCCTTTCTCTGTCCCATCAGGAACAAGTTGGGAGACCAGTGGTATCAGGACAGGGGTGAGAATATGACCACCTCGGTCCCTGATTCAAATGATTGGCCTAAGCACTATTTGCACTTATACAGGGGCATAAACATCACACTCTGCTTTCTTTAGACCAAGTGGGAAACTAAGGATGTTGGTTCTCCCATTTCTATGCAAATATTTTGATTAAATTGAGCAACCCATGCAAGTATCTTGGCCCTGATTGCAACAATGGAATGGCACAAAGATCAAATTGAGCCCCATCATAAAAATGGTCAGTTTTAAACAGCTCACTCAGGGGAAGATATTGAGTTAACTCAATTAATTTCATCTTGTTTCCTAGCATAATTATTCTATACCTGGTTCTGCCTGTAACATAAACTCAACTCAAAGAGTGATGTAGATTTTTTGTTTTGAAGGTATACCATTTCTTATTTTAAAATAGAAATTTATGGTTACTTATAATTTTACTGAAGCAACTTGTTAGCAAATGTGAATGAAGCAAAGGAGCCTAAAAGGGAAGCCAGCTGTCAAGAAGATAGGACTTTACCAAACAGAGTACAGAAGAGGGCTCCAAGCACAGGGTCCGGGAGGGAGGCGAAGAGGGCACTGAACTTCCCGATCATGCCCAGTGCGAGCATGAGGGCCGCACCGTACTGGATCACCCGGCGACTGCCGACCTGCGGGGCACCAGAGAGCAGACAGGTGTTCACCTCAAGGTCAGCACGGATTTCCATCCAGATCCTTGCAGGACAAATGTGACAAAATCTTTGGACAAAACCTTAGTTACTCTTAAATCTTATCATTAAGAGGGATCAGTGTCATTTCATAATGAGGACTGAGGTCGGTACACAATTACTACAAAGACTCCCAGAGTAAAACGATGCCCACCCACCCTTCCTCGCCCTGCCCCGTCCCCACTCCTCCCCCTGACTGTGGGTGGCCTCAGGGCTCATCCTTTGCTTCCCTGTGCCAAGTGATGTCACCTCAGCATGGACCTGCTCCCAAGCTCAGGTGTGGAGTTTTAATGCCCTTACAAGTCAGAGGCCAGGATGACCTTCCGGTGTGTCTCAAATGCAAAATGTAAAAGCTGCACTTCATCTCTGCTTCTCTTTGGGGTTCCTGGCCTCTCCCTTCACCAAGGTAACCAGCCCAAAGCAGTTCATCTAATTTCCATCTTCCCCACAGCCTGAAGCAGATGAAACCCCCAAATATTTCTGGAACCTCCTTTCTTCTTGGTATCTTGCCCATGAGAGATGCACAGCCTAGAGGCCAAAGAGTGCCCCATTCTCCAGCCTTGCTGCCCAGCTTGCAGCCCCACTCCACCACTAGCCATGGGACCTAGCAGCTACTCAGCCTCTCTGGGTACAGGACCCTTGTCTCTATACTGACAAACCACATGGTTTTGCTTTGAGGTAAACCGTGACAATGTGTAGAACAGTTTGAGCAGTGCCTGGCAAGAATTAGGCTATTTGATAGCCTCCCATCTGGGCTTGCTGCCTCTGGCCTTTCCTCCATTCACCTGTCCTCTCCACTGTGGTGGAATGACCTTTCTAACACAGTGATTTGGTGGCAGAGTGTGGGGGCGGGGTGCAGGGGGAGTCAGTTCTCACTTAAGTCTTCTAGTGCTCATGACACAAAACCCACTTCTAAGGCTCTTCCCAACAGAGCCAAGCCTGCCAGCACTCTCCCTAACCTAGTCATGCTGGGGTCATGCTGGGGACTTATCACCTGCCCCTCAGCATACCAGGCATGCCTAGGCCTACCTACCTGGAACACCCTTCCCACATCACCCTTATGGCTGGTTCCCAGACACACCCCTCAAGATACTACCCATATGCTACCTCCTCTTAAGTCTTCCTTGATCCCAAGGCTCTGCTCCCCCCACTATGGGCTTCTGCAGCATGATGTGTTAACATCTCCCACATGATAAACCACATGGTCTCATCTTTATCTGTTAATCCTGATCTGAGCCTTCTAGAAGCTTCTGTCCAGCCTACTGTCACCCAGGTATCAGGAGGTGGAACTGGCAATGGGCTCAAGAATCTGGCATGGTTAGCCCTTACTCTGAGCTGCCTTTCCCAGGGAAATACCCTGAGAACATAAAGAGTAAAAGAAGTTCCAGAAATATCTGGGGTGGTGTCTACAGGGCTTTAAGTATAATTTACAGTGAAAAGATGGCTATTTAAATTCAAGTTAATTAATATGAAATGAAATCTAAGACTGTATCCTCGGTTGCATTAGCCACACTTGAAAGGCTCAGTAGGCACGTGGGGCTGGTGGCTCCTTGCCCACGGCAGTGCAGGCATAGAACATTCTCACACTGCACAATGTCCTGCTAGACAGTGCTGGTCAAGTGCTTCCAGAAGCATCTCAAAGGGTCCAAGGGTTGGATGGTTAAGAATCAGAGTCGAATCTTACTGAACAAATGAAGAACAGCTGTCCAGCTAGAATCAGTCACAGCTGACCAGGAACCCTCTCCCACTGTCCCAATCTACAACTCCTCCTGATACAAGGCAAATGCAGGGAAGCAGGGAAGGAGGTCAGGCAAAATGGAGAATTGATCGAATATACCTTAGGCTGACTGTATTACATGATAAGGAGACTTTTCATTTGCAAATAGGTCATTTGCCAGCAAACATTTTTAAGGACCTACCCTGTGACTAGCACTTACTCGACTGGGAGGGGGGTGGATAAAAAGACAAGTAAGTCCACGAACTTATGATCAAATAATTGTACTGTTGCAGTTGTTACACCATGTGGGCACCCAGCAGGGAAGAGAAACTGAAGAGTTGGGGAGGGTTCCTCAGAGATGGTCTTGAGGGATGAAGGAGAGTTCACTGGAGGAAAAGCATCCAGATACAGGGACCCACCTGCGCAAAGCCCACCTCCCAGCAGGGCCATCACCATTAGGTGTGCAGGGCACAAGGCTAGGCTGGCCCCAGGATGCTTTGAACAATAAATCTTAGAGGAAAACCATGCATGGTAAGCTGATCTGCCTGAGATCACATAAAAACACAAGCAGCAACTAAGCCATTCTTCTATTCAATGACTATTAACCAAGTGCCTACTGTGCACTTCTGTTCTAAACACTTGAGACAGCCCTGCCTCAACCTCTGGGTGCTTACACGGAGCCTTGGAGTCTCCTCTCCCACTGCTCACTCCCTGGGATCTCCTCCCAACCTCCTTCCTGAAATACGGCTCTGCCTCTAGGGCCACTAAAAAATCAGCCCCATGTTTCTGACTTTCTAGTATCTTTAACACTGTGGAGTTCCGCAGAGAAGTGACCCACCTCTGGACACCACCAAAAAGATCATATAGTCAGAGGAGATGGTGTCTCGTCTGTTCCTATAACTTAGGGCTAAATGTCATACAGTGGCAACAGCTACAGCCTACTGAATGCCTACCACATGCTGGGACTCTGGTAAGGGCTTTACATCAGCTTATTAATTCCGGCTCCTCACATTCTGTCTTCACAGACAAGGGTATGAAGAAAAAGAGGTGATGTGACTTGCCCACGGTTACACTGAGACAAGGTGATAGGGCCAGGGCTGGAACCCAGAGTAGCCACCTTCCTGCACTGTTATGCTGCCCCTTCTGTGGGACAGACACTGGAGCACATGCAGCACAGAGATCCTGCTTGGGCACTCCAACCTCTCAGAGCTTCGGAACACACAGTGGGGTAGGCTGCCTCAGCTCCTGATCAAATAGGTTAGCATCTCCATGCACAACAAATGCCATGACTGGAGAAAAGACAGCAAATATTGGAGGTGCTGGGAAATGGGGACAGTATTTGCAAGCGCCATAGATCACCCTCTCTCTGCCCTGGGAGTCTGATACAATGGCCCAGACCAGTGCTGTCCGGCAGAACTTTCTGCAGTGATGGAAACGTTCTGTTATCTGCTGTCCTTGGCAGCCACTAGCCACATAGGACCACCTTGAAATGTGGCTGGTGGGACTAAGAAAAGGAATTTTTTGTTTTAATTAATTTAAACTTCTTAAGTAGCACATGTGCCCACTGACAGCACAGATCTAGAATTGCTGGATTTTCTGAGTTCTGCTCAGAAAAGTGACTTGCCCCAAGTCCTTCACCTGGACGTGGGACAGAATGCGGCCCAGACCCCAGGCCTCCCTTCTCCTGGTCAGGGATCTCCCATCAGCTACATGGGTCAGGCCACTGAGAAATGTCTGCTGCAAGTCCCAACCCCTCTCCTCCCAAGCTGGCTGTGTAGATGACTCAATTCTACCCCCTTGTGAGTCAGGGCAAAGACGACCAACTCCTGGGCTGACATTGCCCTTCAGTGGATGCTGCCTCTGCCCGGGGAAAGCAGTCCAAAGGGGTTCAGAGGGAAGAAGATCAATTAGCTCATTACCAAGTGCTGGCAAGTTGCCTTTTCAGAATAAGATGGCACCATTCGAACTGTAATAAAGATAATTATTCCCCAAACCACCTGAGTCATGTTTTAGAAGGCAACTTCAATGAGTAATACCACTGACTCCCCACAGTGACCCTCATTAAGTTACAGGGTGATACGTTTTAAAGGGGTGCAGAAAGGGAGCTGGCCTGTTTGACTATTTTGCCCTAAATGCCCATCTGTCCCATGTCGCCCCCCCCACCCCCAACAGTTTTACTATGTATTTCAAATTGGTCACATGCCTATGGGTTCACAACAGCAAACTGGCTTAACAGATGAGTGGCTTACGCTCTGCTTGGTGCCCTTAGCTCCATGTGCTCAGATCTGCAGCCACATGGGCCACAGCAGGACCAGGGGTGGAGCAGAAGGACATGCCCATAAGTAACCCTCACTCACCACATGCCGGGGGCACCAGTCAGCAGGTGGGGCTCTGTGCGCACCTGAGGCTGGGCTCTGCAATGGCCCTGCCGATTACAGGGAACTAACATGTTAGGCATGCACTGTGCAGGCTCTGTGCCCTCTCACCTGGATTTGCGGTCAAGATTAACCAAACTTAGTATTTGGTTTCTTTTTATCTGGTTATAGAATCTCAGAGAAAGCTCGGGGGAGGATTTCTAATTTTACAGAGGTCAAACTGTTCTAGAAGGCTCCAGTCCAACCCCCAAGTTCTCAGGATATAGTGCTCAGGTGAGGGGGACCTGTGACTCAGGAGGCCATCCCGGGTAGAGAACTAGTTCTAACTCTCCAGCTTCACAGCACACAATGGCCAGGGGTGGTGGTGCATTCCCAGCACCCTTCAAACAGCCTGCATTGGCCCAAGGCAACTGGGCCAAACTTAGTAATAAATTTGAAAAGCCTAGGAGCTGGCGTCTTACAGCAACTGGACTGTGGGGTGGGCAGCCTCAGGTGTCTGTGTTTAGAAGGTGTGGGGAGGAGAGGCTAGTGGGCACTCCACACCCAGGCTCTGTGACTCATTAACCTAATTCATGAACTCCACAACAGGTTTCATCAGAAAGAAAAGGATTCTGCTGCTATACTTTGAAAACCATGTTAATTTTTCACTGTGAGATGGGTATTTTCCTGTCACCAGCTCTCATCTAGAACTGGCATGACTTCCTAACTGCCCCCCATTTCCACCTCCTCCCTCACCTACATGTCTACTCTCATCCCAGCCTCATCAAAGCGATCCTCAAAAAGACCCACCACATCACATCCTGGGTACTCCCTTCTTCCTGTTCTCTCACAGCTTACAGGGCCTGCTGACTGGAACTGTTACCCTGAGGCCTTCATCTGCTCTCACCATCATCCCAGCACTGCTCCTGCTCCACTGGCCTCCTTCCTGATCTGCAGCATGCCAGCCTGCTCCCTGCTCTGGACAGAGGGTTTTGCGCTGGCTGGCCCCTTGCCTGGACGCCCATCGCCCAGGACCTGCACAGCTCCCTCCGAGCCTGCTCAGGTCCTTGCTTAAGGCTACCTTCTCAGTGAGCCTCAGCCTGACCCTACTGAACACTGTCCTTGTTCCCGATACCCCCACCCTGCCCCATGTTTTTATCACACTTACTAATCTCACTGTTTATTGTTTGTCTTCCCCTGCCTAGAATGTAAACACCATAACAATGGGGATATTTTTCTTTATTCACTGACATGGACCAACCGCCTAGAACAGCAGCCTGGCACAGGGTCGGAGCTCAGTATGTATTCGCAGAATGCAGAGAGAGTGCCTGCCTGCCCAGGGAGCCAAGGGTGGAGACCTCCAACAGCATTTCAAAAACCCATCAAGGACAGGAGGAGGTAGGTGAGATGGCCATCTCAGAATCAGAGGTCCTTTTTGGAACTCACAGTGGTCAGACCCACCAACGAAAGGAATCCACGCTTACAGACCCAACCATTTAGTTAGAAAAATATCTTTACCTTAGTAATTCCCAAAACTCCAATGTTGGGACTGGAAGAAGTAGAGCCATTCCCAGTACCAAATATTCCATCGAGAACACAGGAAAGACCCTCCACGAAAATCCCCCTAAAATGTAAAGGAATGGGGAGAAAAAGAGACGTTCAGTCAATGGGAGCCACACACTGAAATAAGCTCTATATGGTAGCAGCCTAAAAATGGGCTCCACCAACCTGTAGTCTCTGAATTCCCTGGGAGGAGCCAGAAATGCAGTCTCAGGCCCTCTTCAGACCTGCTCTAGCAGAGAACGTGCATTTCATTTTAACAGGATCCCCAGACTCATTTAACTGTGAGAAGCACCAGGTGAGCCAAACATAAGACACCGGGGTTTTAAAATCATTTCAGATTAAAGGATTTTAGCCAGAAAACAGAGCCATTTATTAGGATCTAAGACAAATATGAGCTGCCTGTTGATCTGATTACTTTACTACTAACATCTAATTTCATGAGGAAGGAAATGCTCTGTGATTTTGTGAACACTGGGCTTTCTTATAGAGTCCATATATGAGGAATTTAAGCATATGCAATAAAAGCTCCATTGGGGAAGAGTCCGTATAGAAGGAATTTATATGAAAATTTATAAGGAAGAGTCCATATATAAGGAATTTAAGTATATGCAATAGCTCCATTTGAGAAAAGATGTAAAAAGCAGGCCTGTAAAGACTAACAGAACGAGTGCAAGAGATAATGAGACACCAACTCATTCACACACACGATCCCTTCTACAGGGGCAGCTGGCTGGGGAAGAGAGTGGTGACTGGGGCTATTTATTTTCTCTGCATCCTCTATAGGGTCCAATTTGCTCACACCATCAGGAAACTAAAGACCAGGTGTGTTAAGAATATACATCCCATGGCTCTTAAACCTCAAGATTCCACAGCCCTCACTTACTCTTGCCTTTCTTGTCTCTATGTATGTAAACTGTAACTGTGAACAGGTGACACAGCATCTATCCCTACGAATAACTGGGGAAACCAGAAATCAAAGGGGACGTTCACCTATGGCCACAAACCAAGCAAAGAGCAATGGCAGTGTCTGGCATTTGTTTTGGTGAGTTTAAGGTCTAGAGGGGTCTCAGAGAAAGTGTCTTATATAGTGACTGTCACTATGAGGAAGGAAGGGTGGGAATTCTACCCCATGTTATGCATGAGGAAAATGAGAGCAAAGTGACTTGTCCAAAGGGAAACAGCCAACAGAAAGCCACTGCTGGGCCACCTTCCTGCTGATGCCCCTGGTTTCCCTGCAATCACGCCATGAGCCAAGTAAGGAGGCTCTGGCTCTGGGGAAGAATCTGTTTTCTCAGGAACGTACCTGTTTATGGCGTGGATGGGCGGTGGAGGGGCACAGGACAGCCTTGCGCAGGCGTAGTAGTCCCCGATGGACTCGATAATGCTAGCGACGACTGCACTGAGCATGCCGATGACACCAGCTGCAGAGACGGTGGGAAGTCCCCACTGGACTACGGGAAGAGAGGTGTGGAGTCCTAGTGAGCTTTCTTAGAGGGGCAGGCAAAAGTCATCAGGACATGGAGTCATTCAGCACACCAGAGGACTCTGCAAGATCCACTCATATTTTGAAGTTCATGGAAACTCTTTATTTTTAAACCTAAGTCATCAATGCACCAGATGCCAGGGAACAGCTCCTGAAGTGAATGAAGATGGCCATAACCAGGGCTGGCCGGCTCTGAGTCTCTATTTAACAGAAGAAATCATTTGGCTTGAAGAGGTGCCTGCTTCTCTTCCTGTTTCAAAGTCACACTCAGTACAATCTAGCACAGCCTGTGTTGGGATAGGAATTTTTATGAAGAGGATTTTTAATCCTTGTGCGAAGCATGGCACAAAATAATGGTGATCTTGCCCAGGGGATAGCGTCAAAGGAAAAAGCAGTGACAAGTCACCACCAGCTAAAGTTAAATCCTAACGTTACAACACAAGGTGTAGACAGCTCCTCTTTAGTGCACTATCAGCACTTTTTTCTTTTTTAAAGGAAACCATGTTATGAAAAATTAAATAGTTACCCAGAAGAAAGCAAAGACAAAGTCCTGGGTTTCATTTTGAGTGATCTGGGTTTAGTTAATTCTTCATTCAATTTTTTTTTCTTTAAAAAGTTTATCTATCTGAACATTGAAAGCCATGAGATCTTACTTTATAAAAATAGCATATGGAATTTTCACTGTTGAATGAATAGACTTCTTTGGTAAGACCTTCTCCTTGAAACATTAGTTATAATACAGCCACAAGTATGAAGAACAGTGAGAAAGGAAGATGGGTGAAATGGTCTCTTGTGCAGGACCCAACCATGTGGCTGGGAGATCTGGACACCGAAAGATCTGGGAACAGTGTAACAGACAGACTTTAAATGAAGGCACCCCAAACTGAGTCATAACAAACCACGTAGGAAGTCAGGAAGAGGCACGTCCCTGTCTAGAGAGTCTGGAGATGGCAGCCAAGTGGAGAGTGCCTCCCGGGGTTGGGCAGTGGCCTGAGCATCAGCAAATGAGCAGAACCAGGAGCACAAGAATGGGCGGGTGCCCAGTAGAGAGGGTGTGCAGCACGGGGCAGGAGCTTGGCTCTTGTCTGGTAGGTACTGGGGAATAACCACGGGTTTGGGAAGAGAGAAAGAAGGCATGTGAAGTACGATGTGCAGAATATGCCTGGAGTGTGTGTGAGGCAGAACTGCTCCTCTGGAGCTGCTCTACCCTCTGAGAGCAGATGGGGTGCAGAACCACCCGTGGTCAGGGGTTCAAGGTGCACACCCACAGGCAACATGCTTGGTCAACATCTCATCTTCAGGTTGGTTTGAAAGTTTTCTTATGCAGACATTTACCAAGCAACATTTTGTGTTTTCTAAATGATCTTTTACATATTGTTACTGATTGCAGCACTGTGGTTTCATTTCAGTGTGGTGACTTGGGGGGAGGGATTCTTACTTTATTTTGCCACTTACTATTTTTCAGAAATTGCTTTTTATTTTCCTAGTCCCTTTATTCTTACTATTTTGTTTTTTCTCCCTTTTGCCTTAAGCCCTTCATTTTGATTTTTAAACTCTTTATTCTATCTACTTCAACATTTAAAATTTTCTATTTGTAATCTAAATTTGTTACCCCTTTTCCTTCAGATTATATATATATAAAACCTTGTTGGCTTCCAGCCTTCTATCTTAATTGTTTTTTTTTCTCTCCTTTTAACTAGAGACTCTAATTTATGTTATTACTTTATAGCAGGGTTTCTCAACCTTGGGCACTGCTGACATTTTGGGCCTGAAATACGTATTTTTAACAATCGGCCCAAGGATCTTAGTATACTGCTAAGATATTTGAGTCTTATCTTAGATATCTGATAAGATATCAAATCTTATCAAATTTGATAGATATTTGAAAACTGCTCTAGATACTTGAAAACCTGTCTCGGAGTAAGCAAGCCATGCGGTCAGAGCATATGAGACTGCATTCCCTGGGCTCCCTGTGGGTGGCTTTTTTTAGGGCAGCTCTGGCAACAGAGTTGCTCTCGGCAGATCAAGGCTGTCATGAAGAGAAGCGATCACAGGGCCAAGCGCCCTGTCCACTCAGCTATGCCTTCCCAGGCACGGCCCCCTGGGCCCTGGTGGAAATCTCTGGTCTCTTAGCTCCTGCAAGCCTGGGTCTCCTGCAGAGCCCAACCTGTTCTCATTTGTGCTCATCTTGGGAGCCACCTGCACAAGCAGAGAGGACACCCAGCACATGCTGTGGGGACTTCCTCCTTCCTGCTCTCCCACGCCTCCTCCTGTCTTGCCAATGTACTTTTAATATCATTTTATCTCATATTATATGTATATTTATGAACCATGAATATTTTTTTAAAAAGGACAGGTATACATAAATACATATTAAACTATACAATCTGATGAGAATATTCCTTTAGAAAGATTAAACTTTTTAAAGTTTTTAAAGTGTTTGTAAATATATCAGAACAGAAGGAATAGCTGTGGCTGTCACCAGTCACCCAGTCACCCCTGTTTCACATGCTAAGAACAGCTGCCTCTGACCCAATCTTAATACTGTAGGCTTTTCCTGCCTCTTCCCCTCTCATTCTGAGATGTGAAGACATGGTTGCTACCCAGGAATGTATCTGCACAACCAAACTATGGTCAGGATTCAATTCTAATAAAAACCCCAAATGTGAGAAACAGAGTCTTCACAAAAGCTGACAACCACTGGGTTCACACAAGTCACTTTTGGGGACATGGGTCCAGAAAGTGTTACATGTGAATCCAAGTGATACCTCAGGTAGGGAGGGCATCCCCCTACCCACACACCTTGCCAGGAGTTACCCAACACTTCAATAACTTGAGATCCATCTTCCACCCATTTGGGAGTCTCACTTTACTTCTGATGGCTGTGACCAAGTTAAAAAAAAAGATTACAGCTACCCATTAAAAGATTATACAAATTCCATCATGCTTGAGCAGTCTGCTTGCTAATCTTCAGGTCCCTCCCACTCAAGTCTGTTCATTTTTGGCAGCTTGGGTACCATGCAGCTCTGACTTGCCTTCCTCAAACCTGGAAGAGACCCCTTGTCCAGGATTCCATCCACTAGAACCAAAAGAACCAACTAGTTCATCTCAGAAGGGAGCTGGTTAGTCTTTGTGTGTTAATTATGGACCTCCAGGGTCTCTTTTCTTTTTGCTGTCGACCAGAATGACCAGAATGACAAAACCTTCAGGGGATGTCCTAGGACAGAGAAGGCTGTTGGTGCTACAGTGCCATCTGCCAACTTACAGCTCCTCCGAGCTGGGCCCTAATGGGCTCCTGACCCCTCTGGCCACCAGAATACTTACATGGGTATGGGACTTTAAACCATGGGGCTACCAGAAGCACCCCCTGCCTGGCATCGGTTCGAGCGTAGAAGCCATACTTCGTGCTGTCAGGAGGGAAGACATCTGTCACTGTGAAGATGAAGCACAGCAGCCAGGACACCAGGATGGCCAGGATGATCTGACACAGTCAAAGGAAAAGGCTCTGTCAGGCCAACAGAGGTGGTGGTGGTCGGCAAAACACACGCCTTCCTATAGCCTGAATATCACACCCAGAACCCACAATCATCAGAACTTGTGGAAAAAACATGCAACGAATCTGCTGAAAGCCAATTCCTTAAATGGAATCACATTCAGAGAAAGCAGTTTTATGCAGGTAAAGCTAATTGAACCCTAACTCTGCTAGTACAATAAGAATAATGGACAGTGTGCCTGCAGAGGCACATGGAGTCAGAGCTCCCTGAGCCCCAAAGACAATCAATGTCCTCCTTTCTACTGTTAAAGGGATTTCAGGATCGGAAACTTCCCCCACTTTCACACCTTAAAGTACACAGCAATTTGGTGGACATTAGTACTCCAATGTCAGCACACAGACATTGTCCCCCCACTGAGGACCTGCTTAAAACCCTCCCTTCACTAAACATGTCACATATGAACCAAAGGCAGTATTGTCAAAAAAAAAAAAGAGTACTCACAGGGAACATTTTGAAAAGCTGTAATTTGTATGCAGTCCATCCTTTCTTGGATTTGTAAATTGGGAGAGGAAATTTAACATTTCTGGCATATTGAGAAAACAATAATACTAGGAAAATTGTCCTGAGGACAGAAAGAAAATAAACTAGGTTAAAGGCTGTTTGAAGGCCTTGAACACACCTGTGTTTTAAAATACTGCGCAAAGCTTCAATGGCAAAACTGACCAGATGTGTTCAATTCATTGCTCTAGAAAGCTGACGGTCCTCTAACTATTGGGAAATCACACTTTGGAAATGCCATTTGTGGAAAGAGGTCAGAACTCTTTTTCTTAGCATTTCTTGATACTGAAATGAAACTGCCCATATAAATGCTTTGGCTAAATTTTCCTTAATAGAGTAAGAAAACTTGAAGAATGTACACACGGATGCAAAAAGCTCACTCTACATAAGGGAAAAAGACAAGGTGCCAGATCACAGTATAATCACAACTACAAACTAACTAAAACACCAGCCAACTTCACATGAGCATTCATGTACACCCGCACACATGCACGCAGGTAAGGACAGATCTAAAAGGCTCACAGGGACTGGCCTCGGCAGGGCAGTATGATTTTTCCCTATGTCTCTGTATCTTCTGATTTACTTATAAAGGTCTTTTAAAAAGCAAAAAGGAAAGGTTCAATATTTAAGAAAGCTATACACAACATAAATCCTTATTATAATACCCCTGAACAGCTTCTGTGTACCAGATGTCATGTGAAGGTCATCTCCGCCTTCTGCAGTGGCTTCTATGATCACCCACTTTACAGAGATAAGAGGTCAGGCAGCTAGAGGTTGCCCTGTGGGTGGGCCAGGGATCTATCTCTACAGCCTGGGCTCTGAACTACTTTGCCACACTAGTTTTAAGGTCAGATATGTCTGGGCTGGCTCCGAAGTCCCTCCACCCCTAACCCAGCTGCACTGAGGTAACAATGTCAGGTGACTTTCCTGCAGGGGGAACACCCATCCTAACCCATCTGGTGCCCCAAGTGTGGCAGCTGTGGGATTGCTTCCCATCACCAACACGATCAAGGCACACAATGATGTGTTTCATCACCCACAGGGACTCGCTCTTTCACTCACAACCCGTGGTAGAGCTGGTAGCAGAGTGCACACTCACTCAAAGCTGGCTGACTTGTTCCTGGGCACAGCTCCAATTGCCAAGGTGAATTACCAGCTCCCCTGATGGTGCGCCGTCACGGTAAAATCCCCAGTGAGGGGCGGGCTGTAGCTGGCTGAAGAACAGGCCTGTGCTGCCCCACCATCTCCCCACCTACCTGGATGCTTCACTTACCTGGCAACAGGGTTCTCTGCCCTATCACAAAGTCACTGGGCCAGTACCAGTTCCACGTTGAAAATATACATGGGGCCCAGGGGATTCCAATTCCCCAGGGATGGTGAAGGTTAACCAAAAACACCCGGTAACAGCAGTGAGGGATACTGAACTTGTTTATTTTAAACTTAGACCAAAATAACATTTTCATGCTTTAGAAAATGCCACTGATTTAAATTTCAAAGTGAACACTATGAATCCAAAAGGTCTCAAGTCTGTTATTACTGTTACGATTATTTCAGGTGACACCCCACCTATCACATCTGCACCTAAAAAGTGTTCACTTTTTAAAGCATGTTTAAAGGGGACAGGGACCCACAGGATTTGAGGAAAGACATCCCAATTTCAGACTCCAATGTGACAGCACACAGTGGGCGAATGGGGCAGGTTTCCTTCCCACTCTAAAATCTGTCCACTTCTAACTTATGCTTATCCTCAAATAAATACACCTTTGGGGGCAGGTAGGGCAAAAGCAGCCCCAAAGCAGACAGGCGGCAGGGCTCTGAGGTGAGGATGTGCCTGAGCTCACACACTGCGGCTAAGCAGAGAAGCAACAAGGATCCGAGCTCCAAATCCTCAAGCCGGTCCCGTCCACCACACCTGGCCCTTTCCACCTCACCTTCACAGACTGCTGGCTATTCCTTCCTTTTACTTTATAAATACTATGAAAACAATGCCTGCTAAAATGTAGGATGACTGTCAACAGGTTGGGGCAAAAAACAAATTATGAAATAACGTAATGGTGAAGCTCTATATGCTCACATGTTTGTATTTATGCATAATATAAAAATATGGAAGGATGAGTACTAAATTTTTGCTAGTTAATCATGAGATTTTTGAGAGTTGGCAATGGGTAGGAGGGGACTATTACTTTACTTAAGATTTCCCTGTTTAAAAAAGATAGACAAAATCCTGAAGATCATTCATCATCCCACTACTGGGTGAAAATGATGTAACATTCTGGTCTAATAATCCCAAACAGCTTCCCGTCCCTGGATATTTATGCAATGTCACTGGGTCCTGAGCACTGGGGTCAGAGAGGGAGATGGAGCTGCCTGACATCATCCTTGCCCTCAGAACACAAAGGGGACATCACCTGACCCGAACTGGAATCATACTTTACGCAGCTTCTAGCCCCTATTAATCCATGACCTCAACAGACGCAGATCTGAAACAACCCCACTAGTGGCCGCTCAGCACTCATCTTAAGGACCCCCAAATCATTCAAAGTAGGACACTGCGTGCAACATGAACAACCGTGATGGTCACCCCTCCTGGCACCTGCCTGCTTATCTCCTGGTAAGTTCCTACAACAGGAAAGGATCTGTCGACCAGTAAATACCTTATTCAAAAGCTTCTGACACAGACTGCCAAGTACATACAGAAACGTTGGGCCAAGTTCCAATCCCACTCAGAAACCAAAAATGCCCATTTGCTACTACTACAATACAGTCTTAAACTTTTAAATTCCTACCCATTTCAAACCTCTTTATACACAAGGTATGTTTTTCTTAATTGTCTGTCAACAAGCACATGTTTTAAACATGCATGAGTATCAACTGGGGAGTAGCTTAATAGACTATTTCAAATAATTTAACATCACACAACTTTACAAAGAATAAACTAAATATAAAAACACTGTCTTGGAAAAGTAAGCCTGATCAGTTGTTGGGGTGAAAAACAAATTATAAAATAATATAATGCTACAGCTGTATATGCTCATATGTTTGTACTTTTGTTAAACAATATAAAAATATGGAAGGATAAACACTAGCTTTACTAGTTAATCATTAGATTTATTTTGAGAGATGGTGGTGGGTGGGAGGGGCTGTTTACTTTAGATTTCCCTGTTCCATTACTGTTAAACTTGAAATGACTATAATTTCAGTGTATTTGGGGGTATAGATAAAATGAGATTTCCCTTGAGTGTTTGGTGATGGGGTGGGGTGGGGAGTCATTACATTATTCTCTTTACTTTTGAATAGGCTTGAAATCATCCATAAGAGAAGTAAACAAAAAACAAGTTTTGTCAAGAAAAACATACTTCCCGAACAGGACCTATATACACATGGTGTAAGAAATGTCACCAGTTATCCTCCCTTGAGAATCTGTCTCTGATGCCACCTCCACTAGCTGACTTAGGATCCCCTCTCTTGTACAATCTGATCTCCCACAGCTAACAGAATCCAGGTGAATATGTGTTTTGACAACTGGGGAGGGCAACCCTTTTTACACACTAATTGGCTATTTGTATTTCCTTTTTGTTTTTCTTAAATGGTTCCTCTAGAACATTCTCTCCTTTAAATTAATTAGTGAAACTCTGAATTGGGAACATTTGCCTTTCTTGTGGAGTTTGTTGTAAATATTTTCTGAGATTCATTTACAACATATGAGTTTTAAATGCATCAGTAGTAAAACCTATCTAATCTTTCTCTTCTCAATATCTGCTTTTATGGAAGACATTCCCTGTCTTATGATTAAATATTTATGTAAGTTTTCTCTAGCACTTTTATGATTTTATTTTCTATATGTAAATCTTTAATACAACTGAAATGTAATTTGATATAAACTAGGAATCAAAATTTTTTCCAAATAATTATCTCATTTGTTCTACACAGTTCTTCCATTCCCCACTGATTTCAAATATGACTGCCATCATACATTAAATATTAATTTTTTTCTTGGCTATGTTTCTATCTCTCCTATTCTGTTCTACCAACATGTATCTGGTCCCAGGACCACAGTATGGTTATTAAGCTCTGAAACATATTTTGGTTCTTGTAAAGGCAAGTCACCATTCCCTTCTCCATGACATTTCCAATATCGATCCACATTATTTCATTTTCTTGTCTTATGCAATGGTTAGCACATCCAGAACTTTAAATGATACTGGTGATAATAAACATGTTTATCTTAGCCTCTGATTTCAACAGGCAGGATTGATTTAAGCCTTTCACCATTAAAGTTTGAAACATTTACAAATCTTACTCATGAAAAATACTTCTATTCTCACCACTGCTAACAGTAGGCAATAGGAATATAAGTTGAATTTGACTGAATTTGATTTTTCAAAATTGCCACCATGGTTTTCATTAATTAAATCTACCAGGAACCCATAATGGATTTTTAATAATTTTTAAATATCTGATCATCCTTGAGTCTCTGAAATGACACATAATGTGTTGTTCTTTTATTATCTGTAGTAGCATTTTCCCAAACCATGTTCCAAGGAACATTATTTAACATATGATATGTCACTAGATGTAACACTAAAAACATAGACTGTGTTCAGAGCTAGATCCTAAAGCCTTGGCATTTAAAAAGAAAATCACAAGGAGCCTTGGGTAGAGAAAGATGTTGAGCTTAAGCATGTTACTCCTTGAACATATCTGCACTTGGCTCCAGGTTTTACGCCCTACAAAGGAAGCCGCTGGTATACGCTCTCCTTTTTGTATTAGCTCTGCCAAGATTTGCCATAAAGATAAAATTGACCGGGAAGTTTACCTTCTTTCTCAAAGCTGCTGAAGAGTTTAAATAGTGCAGGAATTCTCTCTTCTTTGAAGATTTAATAGGCTTAATGTCTAACCAGTGGAGTTCAGAACTTCTTTTACGGATAAAAGCCCTTGAACAATATTCTTCACTTCTCCCGTGGTCCTGGGTGTCCTCAAGCCTCCCGCTTCTCCCGTCACTTATTCACAACGTGCTTACCGAACACCTGCTCTGTGACAGATTGTGAGCCAGGTGCTGGGGGCAACCAGCACAGAGCTGACACCCTGCCCTCACAAAGCTGACATCCCACAGTACAAAAGAGCTCCTGGAAACTAAAAAACACAAGAGCAGAAGTGTAAAGTTCGACAGAAGGATTCACAGATAGAGCTGAGGAAAATTCCCATTAATACAAAAAAAAGATGAAGAGATGAAAAACAGGAGAGCAAGCAGAGGCAGTGTTCGGGAGGTCCAGCATTTTAAAAATTACAGCAAGAGATGAGCAGGGATTGAGTGGAGGAAGTCATGCATGAAATAATTCAAGATTGCTCCCCATCCACTGAAAACACCTGAGACTCCAGAGAGAAAAGTGCCTGATGGCCCAGCCCGAGATGTAAACAGACAGCCAAGGGACAGGGGGTGAGGTTTCAGACACAGCAGCAAGAAGACCTACAAGCTTCCAGAATTCTAGCATGTGTTTAACTGGAGTTTCAAAAGGAGGAGACAGAAGAGGAGGCCTTGAAGAGATCAAGGGCCAGCATTTCACAGGACTGAGAACAGGCAGGAAGGGAACAGGAGAGGTGCTGGAGACTACTGCAGAGCCATGGCCATGAATGAGTCTTGTCAAGGGTGGTGGCCATGAAGACCCGAGGACAGACCCAGGATGCGTTCTGGAGGCAGGGCAGAATGATGGGTTGTACATGCAGAATGAAGGACAGCAAAGAATCAAGGACGACCCCAAGGTTTGCGAGTGAAGCAGCCGGGTATGTGGGTATGTGGTTAAACAGCTGACTGACGTGAGCACAGAAGGAGAAGGAGCTGTGAAATAGGTTTGCAGGGCAAGGTGGGAATCAGGTTTGTCGCTTTCTCCCTTTAAAGTTTGAAATGTCTTGTATAACAGCCAATGGAATGTGCAGACATGGGCTGGACCCTACAGGCAGATGTGGATGGAGGTCGCCAGCATGACAGGTGTCAGCTGGTGCCATGGACTGGATGGGACCTGCCAGGGAGAAGCATGTGGAGAGGAGGTTGTCCAAGATGGGGAGCCCCAACACTCAGAGGTCAGGTGAGGAGAAATCTGCTTGGGTTTTATGCTCTTCTAGAAAACCACTCATTTTATTAATTTGTGTGTGTGTGTGGTTTTTTTTCATTTGAGAGCAAGGAGCATAGATTGGCCTCATTCTCCCTGGACCTACGGTTTTATCCTGTGTATGTGCACACACTCTCTGCTTATCTTAATCAGCCTTGCTGGAAGTTCATCTACATGTTATTTTTCTAAGGAATAGCTTTTGGATTTATTACTTCTATTTGTTTCATATTTTTTAAATCTGTATTATTCTTTCCCTGCTTTCACTAGGCTCACTTTTTATCCTGTTTTGCTAATGTGTAGAGATAAGCTCTTCATGTACTTGTAGTTAAGGTTATTTTTCTCAAGAACAACTCTGTTCTGTGCGAGCACTGCTGTTATTGTCATCATCTTCTAATTATCAGCAATTGTGAATTTTCAATTTCCTCTGACGATGAGTTATTTATAACAGTATTTTTCTAGCTTCGTAGCTTGGAGGTTTTGTTTATCCTTTGGATATTGGTTTCTAATTTTACTCTATGATGGTAAATACAATTTCTCTTTCTTGGAACTTACTGCATTTCACTGAATGAACAATTTTACATGCATTTTACACACCTATCCTGGTGGGGAGCACATGAACCAACCTTCAGTGAAATGGGAAAATTAAGAGCAATCTTGGGTATTTGCACATATCTTAATTTGTAAACCATGTTCTGACACAGACAGGCAGGATTAAGTTGATGGTTAAGTACTGGCCAGGATGGTTTTGCAAACCTCCCTAGCCACTTCCTTGTTATGTGAGTCTGGGCAATAACTGCGTCTGTGTGCCTTGGCTTCTCTAGCTGTTAAATGGGGATAACATTGGTACCCACCCTGATGTATAATGTTTACAACAAGTGTTCTGTGAAGCAGTGAGGCATATGCTCAGCAAGAGCTGCCCATCACTGAATCATTACCAAGTATGTCACAAAGCAAAACAAGAACAATTAGAAGTCCCCTCGTGTTCTTACTTAGTGTGGTTTAGAAATTTTACTGGTCACAAAATTCTAGTCTTTGAACCATTTTCCTATGATATGATCAACTCTCTATATATTCTACAAGTGCACAAAAAGAATATGGTTGTTTGTGGAATACAGAATTCTGTGGCTCTAATAATCAATCTTGTAATAAATATTACCAAAGTCTTGGATGTCTTTACCGGTATGGCATTACTTAAAGGGGTAAGTGACATCTTTAATGGACTGGAATGTCTGTGCAGAAAGACCAGCACTGACTAGCAGGGCTCAGGCGGGAACCGTGGCCTCCCCCACAGAGTGGAGGCTTCTGCTGGCCTGCGGAGCCATCTCCTTCAGTGCCAACACACCCCCTTGCCTGCTTTGTCTCCTGCCAATGGGGAAGTATTTCTGAGTCTCATCTAAAGGACCTGGCCTCTCAATGTTGCAGCTCATGCACGGGAGACTCAGCATGACCTCAAAAGTCAAGAGCTAATGGCACCACCCTCCTATCCCCTTTCCCAAAGCCTGAAACCTTACACCCCATCCCTCCATACATCAGTCTCAAACCTGTCTCTCCAATACCTTAACTGCATGTCACTTCCCAACCTCTGGGTCTAAAAAACCTTTCAGTAATTTCCCTGGCACAAAGCAAACAAAGTTCAAACTATTTGACTATTATTAAAAAAAAAAAAAACTCATAGTCTGGGTAAATGTTCAAAACATTCCCAGAAGCTGTCCCTCCGTGGTAGGAAGAGGGGTGCAGGGTTTCCTATCCCTTCCTGAGCAGCCTCAGAATACTTACAGCATGGCGATGCCCCAGTGCTTCCCTGCTCGCTCTCCTGCTGCCTGGAAACCAGACAGGCCAATGAGGGCCACTGTGGGTGTGATGGTCAGGGGCCCAATGTATTTCAGCAGTGCTCCGGGCAGGCCTAGGAGGCCAATGACCACTTCTATCAGCGAGGACATGATGATGGCTCCCTGGATCTGGAACAAGAGAGGGCACAGACATGAGAGTAAGCTGCATATACATCACTAACTCCAAATGTGACCTGCAACCACAACTGGTAATTCTGCAAGGCTTCAAGTTATTATATACAAGCCATGATGCAGCAGAATTCTCAGAGACCCCCAAAGAAATCAGTGGGGGGACTGGGGTCTGGCAAACCAACCCAAGTACGACATGACTGATGGAACAGTATTATAGCAATGGGCACTGAGCCCAAAGCCAACCTGTCTTTTCCACTGATAAATGAGACAGACACAATTTATAGTTCCATTTAAGACATGTGGCATTCAAAATCAACCTCAGAGAACACTGCATTTCAAAGACTCTTGACTTTAAAAAGGGAGCCCTTGGAAGACATCCAAAAGGCACTATTACTGACACAAATTCTAAAGGAACATGCCTGTTGTGTGGAAAAGCAGTATGTGCCAATTCAAACTAATGGTGAACAGCCCTTACGGGTTTGTGAGGATCTGTATAAATCTCCAACTGTTCCTCCTGTCTGAGGACCCGTATGCCGTCCTGTGTCAGCACACTGGGGAAGACAAGCGTCTAGTCCCTTCTGCAGACACAGGCAAACCCTGAGGCCCGAACGAACAGTTCTGCTGTATGTCAACAGCCTGTGCGGCTCCTTCCAGGGGAGCTGCAGCCATGGGCTGGCCACGCTGGAGGGTGGAAATGGGCAGGTCCTTGGGGGACCAGCAGGAGGAGTGCAGAAATGGTGGCCGAGAAACCACTGGCTGCACAAAGCATTTGCTTGCTTTGTTTTATTTTATTTTTATTTTATAGTGGTGTCTTCTACATTTAGTTCAGCAACAAAAATATATGTGTCAGTAGTTAAAAAGAAAAGGAGGGCTTGATACAAGCAACTGCCATTTCTTGAGCACAACGAACACTGGAGCTGAGAGAAAACAAAGAAGCCGCAGGCAGACAGTGCTCATCTCTCACCTCGCGGATCCGGGGGTACCAGATGTGTTCTGTACATAGCAGTTCTGCTGTTCCATTGGCAACTGAAACATCTTGAAAACAAAAACAAAGACAAAATTTTTCTTGGAGTGACACTGATGTTCACAGGACATACTCATTTTACTCTTTTTAGAATTTCCTCCCTGTTTTAAGTATATCTGGATAAATACCCATCCCTAGAATTCGAGTTACAACAGTACGGCTTACCATACTGAAAGGTGCATTTCCCCAATCCTAATTTAACCAAATTTATTCATCGACTGAGAGCTCCCAGCTTGTCAAAAAGCTGACTGAACTAGTGGTAACACATTGCTGGTGCCAGCCTCAAACAAAGACCAACCTTTGCAAGCAGCTAATTGAAATGCCCAATAGCAAGGTTGCCTGACTATGGGTTTTTAAAACGTAGATAAAACAGAGGAGGGCCTTTTCCAGTTCCTAAATTAAATCAGTGGCCATAAAGTAACTCCTAGGAGCAAGGAAGGAAATGAAGGCTGGAAAACTTTGCTCCTAGAATCTAAAAATGTAGTAGTATTTTGAGATTACAACAGGTCTATCTGATTTTCTCAAATCCTCTATCTGATCATTTCCTGACCTTATTGGGTTATTTAAGGATCTTTGCAATCACTACAGGGCAGGGAAGGGGGGAATGAAAGTCATCTGCAGAAAACCAAAGCAGCCAGATCCTTAAAAAGCAGAGATGTTTCAGAGAATGGATGCTGATGCAGCAGAGGCACATAAAATCCACTGGAAGAAAGAGGCAAAAAAATAACACAAATATTTTTCTATTCCATTCTGTATTTATCAATTTCATGAGCATAGAGAAATGAGGTCCTTTCTGGTTCTTAACTTGCTCTGGGGTTAGGGATGAACAAGTGGATAGAGAGAGAGAGACAGAAACACGACCCACAGATTGGAGTATTCTAAACTGTTTGTTGGTTTGTGTGTTCCGTGCCTGATTCCAGAAAGGATTTAACTCTGCTGAGGGCAGCACATCCAGGCCTCCCTCTTATCACCTGTGTTAAAGGACCCCAATGACATATGTGGAAATAACTGCAATTACCTGTGGTGTTACATTTCCATTTATCTAAAGACAGGATGGCTCGAGCAGGGGCCAGAAATGCAAAAGCACTGGCCTGAAACAGGGGTAACCTAAAAGAAACGAGACCAAAACCATGATCACAGCATCAGGAACTACCGAGGTAGTTCACTATTTGACAGCTTAACAGTCTTTTCCACAGACAAACAGCACATGAGTAAACGCAGGTACACGTGGAGGAAGACCCGGTCTGCAAGACCTCCTCTGCCACACAGCCAGGGCCCCTGGCTTCTCTGTCCTCCCCTCCTGCTACTCTCCCTACCCCAGACAGCCCCAGGGTGGGCCCTGGGGGAGCCCTGAGGTCAGCGCCAGCACCCCAATACCAGCCCCTGCCATCGCCACCTTTCCCCTTGGGGATGGGGGATGGGAGTACTTGGACGTCTCTCTTTCCTGCTGTGCTGTGCACTCCTTGTTAAACATGAGTGCACATCTTCTATTTTACCACCTTTCTCCTCCTTTACAAATTATCGGTTAGCACAGGAAAAAAATCTATCTCCCCAGTTGTTCCCTTTTGTAATTCAAAAACTGCCCTAACTCATAGAGGATAAGCATTAAAATGTTAGAGATCTAGATCTACTGAGGAAAAGGAAAGCTGTAAATTACAACTCAACAGTAAATACAGTGCTTAATCACAAAAAATATTCAGTGTTCTAAACCTTATTTTAGAAGGACCCAGAAAACTTACAGACTCTGTTAAATTTCCTCCCTACATCCTCAAACTAAATGCAGAGATCCTCAAATGCTATCATTCAATTATGTTTTTGCTGCTTTGTAATGACTTTATGAATACTTTAACTATTCAAATTCAAAAGACTTCTGCCATTTTTTGTTGGGAATGTACAGCACTTCAGCTACAGTTGAATTAGGGTAGCTTTGTGGGCTAACATAAGAACTTGACTGCTGTTTTTAACATTACTTTCAGAATAAAATATAAACTTGCTCCTTTTATTTGTAGGGCTGGAAATTCCTGAACATCTAGGTATTTCTTAAGTACCCACAAGCAGCCTTCCATCAGTCTCCTGGCCAGCAGGCCAGAAACCCAGCACATGCCTCTCTGAGCTACCTGAGGCACAACCTGCCCTGACCAGAACAGGAAGTGGACTGAGCAACAGTGACTCTGGATGAAGAACAAGCAGCCCCTTTACAAATCCAGAGCCAGCGCACATAATTCTGACACAGACAAGGGCCAGGATTTTGTTCTCCTGGCCATTTTAATCATGCAGTGAAATGAACTGAGAGAAGGCACGGTGCTGGCTTTAAGACCCAGAGGCTGCACGGTACAGACCAGTAGCACTGTGGTGGCCACTCACACAGGCATGCCCTCCACTATAATTACCTAGCAAAGGGGCCCAAAGCCTACCTAGTACCTAAAAAGAAGGGAAGGTCATCTGAAGTGGCAATGTCTATCAAAAGGAATACACTGTTTTGATGTACAAAAATTCCTCAAGAACAATTTTTCAGAAATGCACTCAAAGGGTAAAGGGAGGTCAGCAAGTAAACAGGAATGGATGTTTTCTCAAATGGTCCAAATGGCATCTGTCTTACTATTGTTTCAGATTTCAAGCAATGCATCTCAGGGCGATGTAAGAAGGACTACATTCAGAACACCTGTCCTTGGGAATACTGCAGTCAACATTGCACTGGTGACTCACTGGCTATGGTATGGGTTTTTAAAACGTAGATAAAACAGAGGAGGGCCTTTTCCAGTTCCTAAATTAAATCAGTGGCCATAAAGTAACTCCTAGGAGCAAGGAAGGAAATGAAGGCTGGAAAACTTTGCTCCTAGAATCTAAAAATGTAGTAGTATTTTGAGATTACAACAGGTCTATCTGATTTTCTCAAATCCTCTATCTGATCATTTCCTGACCTTATTGGGTTATTTAAGGATCTTTGCAATCACTACAGGGCAGGGAAGGGGGGAATGAAAGTCATCTGCAGAAAACCAAAGCAGCCAGATCCTTAAAAAGCAGAGATGTTTCAGAGAATGGATGCTGATGCAGCAGAGGCACATAAAATCCACTGGAAGAAAGAGGCAAAAAAATAACACAAATATTTTTCTATTCCATTCTGTATTTATCAATTTCATGAGCATAGAGAAATGAGGTCCTTTCTGGTTCTTAACTTGCTCTGGGGTTAGGGATGAACAAGTGGATAGAGAGAGAGAGACAGAAACACGACCCACAGATTGGAGTATTCTAAACTGTTTGTTGGTTTGTGTGTTCCGTGCCTGATTCCAGAAAGGATTTAACTCTGCTGAGGGCAGCACATCCAGGCCTCCCTCTTATCACCTGTGTTAAAGGACCCCAATGACATATGTGGAAATAACTGCAATTACCTGTGGTGTTACATTTCCATTTATCTAAAGACAGGATGGCTCGAGCAGGGGCCAGAAATGCAAAAGCACTGGCCTGAAACAGGGGTAACCTAAAAGAAACGAGACCAAAACCATGATCACAGCATCAGGAACTACCGAGGTAGTTCACTATTTGACAGCTTAACAGTCTTTTCCACAGACAAACAGCACATGAGTAAACGCAGGTACACGTGGAGGAAGACCCGGTCTGCAAGACCTCCTCTGCCACACAGCCAGGGCCCCTGGCTTCTCTGTCCTCCCCTCCTGCTACTCTCCCTACCCCAGACAGCCCCAGGGTGGGCCCTGGGGGAGCCCTGAGGTCAGAGCCAGCACCCCAATACCAGCCCCTGCCATCGCCACCTTTCCCCTTGGGGATGGGGGATGGGAGTACTTGGACGTCTCTCTTTCCTGCTGTGCTGTGCACTCCTTGTTAAACATGAGTGCACATCTTCTATTTTACCACCTTTCTCCTCCTTTACAAATTATCGGTTAGCACAGGAAAAAAATCTATCTCCCCGTTGTTCCCTTTTGTAATTCAAAAACTGCCCTAACTCATAGAGGATAAGCATTAAAATGTTAGAGATCTAGATCTACTGAGGAAAAGGAAAGCTGTAAATTACAACTCAACAGTAAATACAGTGCTTAATCACAAAAAATATTCAGTGTTCTAAACCTTATTTTAGAAGGACCCAGAAAACTTACAGACTCTGTTAAATTTCCTCCCTACATCCTCAAACTAAATGCAGAGATCCTCAAATGCTATCATTCAATTATGTTTTTGCTGCTTTGTAATGACTTTATGAATACTTTAACTATTCAAATTCAAAAGACTTCTGCCATTTTTTGTTGGGAATGTACAGCACTTCAGCTACAGTTGAATTAGGGTAGCTTTGTGGGCTAACATAAGAACTTGACTGCTGTTTTTAACATTACTTTCAGAATAAAATATAAACTTGCTCCTTTTATTTGTAGGGCTGGAAATTCCTGAACATCTAGGTATTTCTTAAATACCCACAAGCAGCCTTCCATCAGTCTCCTGGCCAGCAGGCCAGAAACCCAGCACATGCCTCTCTGAGCTACCTGAGGCACAACCTGCCCTGACCAGAACAGGAAGTGGACTGAGCAACAGTGACTCTGGATGAAGAACAAGCAGCCCCTTTACAAATCCAGAGCCAGCGCACATAATTCTGACACAGACAAGGGCCAGGATTTTGTTCTCCTGGCCATTTTAATCATGCAGTGAAATGAACTGAGAGAAGGCACGGTGCTGGCTTTAAGACCCAGAGGCTGCACGGTACAGACCAGTAGCACTGTGGTGGCCACTCACACAGGCATGCCCTCCACTATAATTACCTAGCAAAGGGGCCCAAAGCCTACCTAGTACCTAAAAAGAAGGGAAGGTCATCTGAAGTGGCAATGTCTATCAAAAGGAATACACTGTTTTGATGTACAAAAATTCCTCAAGAACAATTTTTCAGAAATGCACTCAAAGGGTAAAGGGAGGTCAGCAAGTAAACAGGAATGGATGTTTTCTCAAATGGTCCAAATGGCATCTGTCTTACTATTGTTTCAGATTTCAAGCAATGCATCTCAGGGCGATGTAAGAAGGACTACATTCAGAACACCTGTCCTTGGGAATACTGCAGTCAACATTGCACTGGTGACTCACTGGCTATGGGAAAATGAAGAAGTGGCCCTGGGTCTCACTCCTGGTGACATGAACTATTCCTGACTTCAGTCTGAACCTGACCATCATTCCCTGGCACCTTTCAAGACAAGCATTTTATGGCTTCACCATAACCAAAGGCCCCAGCCACACTGCTACAAAGCAGCTCATTCACTGCCAGGCAACCAGAACCCTGGGTTCTTTTCAAAGTAGGTGGTAACAGAAAATTTCCCCCGAGGCTGCCCAAGGCAGTGTGTCCCAGGAGGATCTGGCGCCACATGCGAGCTTATGTGTTCACTGTTCCACCATGTACGCTGCCTGCCACAAGCAGCGCTGGCAGAACAGACAGCCGCTTTGCACTCAGCACTAGTATGTACCTGGGCAGGTAAGTGTGCTCTCCATGATTGGCAGCACAAATCAGTGGCTAGACTGAAATATTCTTAGGGAAATGCAACAAAAGCACATTACTTCATTGAACAGGGACATCCCTAAATAAAAAACCAACTTTGCAATGAAAAGACTGAGGATGATCAAGCTCTTGATATTCTCCACTGACACAGCAGCTTTTCCAGGCCCTTCCTGAGCATGAAGCTGGTCGGTCCCAAGGCTCTTCCCTATGCATTCAATCCACATGATCAGCTAAACCTCAGGTCTTTCAGCAACCACGCAGGTAAGACTTTCCTATTTTGTACTGATGACTGGACAGGAACAAAATTAAACCACCTTTCTTCACAGGATAGTAAAGTGGTCAAATCTGGCAAGCTCCCTGTTTTTGTGAGTGAGCTCTTTCTGGCACACAGCCACCCTCACTTACCAGTTGTCTGGCTTTTGCACTATGATGGTGGGATCGAGTAGTTACAACAGAGCTTGAAACACTTACTGCTTATTTATTAACAGAAAACATTTGCCACCTTTGTCTATAGGGAAAAGTGTATCTTAAATAAAGGAAGAGGTGGTAGGTTTTTGCAAATTAAGTTTTTATCATCACTAGATGTCAGTGAAGAAAAATCTGAGCAGACAGGCCTTTGTCATGACACATTCCCATGTCAAGCTCTAGCCCCAGGACAGTAAAGGAAACTAACCAGCCCAAACAAGCCTTACTTTCTCCAAGGCCCTCATGGGAGCACCCTATTTCCCCCTCAGTGCCCAGGTGACCTGAGCTCAGCTCCCAGCCTCATCCTCACCAGCCCCCCCACACATCTGCACCTCACCTGGTCTGGGTTCTTGCCCGTGAGCCTTTGTCCAGCTCTTCTGTCAACTCATTTCTAATGTTCAATTTTTATTCATCATTCAAGGCACAAAGAAAATACTACCTCCTCCAGGAAATAGTCTAGAATCTCCTTATTAGATTTCTAATGTGTTTCCCTACACTCTGAACATCATTTCTGCAAGTTACCTACTAAGTCACCAGGAAGCTGCTTCGTGATTCCCGGGGTGTGCAGGTTAAAAATGGTGAAGCTGGGGCACCAGGCACCACAAAGGCTGACAAGCCCAGGGCCAGAAGAAGGGATTTACTATTTCGGTCACTTGCTAAACATTTCTTGGTGGTCGGCTTGACACAGGCACAATTATAAGCGATTTGACAGTGGCGGTTAAAAAAAAAACTATCCCTAAGATCTTGAGAGGTTTCTGTCAAGGTCTCTGTTGCGTTGAAGGGACATTAACCATGGCCACATATGAAGGGTGGTGATAGGGCGGTGGAGGATGCCTGCGAATCTGTGGGAGCTATCACTCAATCTGAAGAACAAGCACTTCACCACACATCCAAGGGGTACGAGGAGGCCAGGCAGAGAGAAGAGCAGATGCAAAACAAGAGCCACCGGACAGGCCCAGGGTCCTCGGAGAACTGCAGACTCTTTGCTGAGGATGGGGTTGATGTGGTGAAGGTCCGAGGGGAGCAGAAGGGCCTGAGCACAGAACTACACCCAGGAGGCCCTTCGACAGGTTGTGGCATAGCTCCACTTGTGGCCCCTGCCCCGCTGACCCCTCCTGTGGCCATGTGTGCTGGATGACCTGCCAGCTCAGGCAGGGTCTCATCTATCAGCTCCCTTCATAGCACCCAAGAGATCTGCACTGATGGCTCCCCTTCTACCCCCTGCACCACCAGCATCAAAGGATAGCAGGACCTGGGCCCCCCTCATCCATCACTATATCCCCAGCACTGACTTCCACTTCATGAATGAATGACCTGAGGCACTGTTTGCAAATATTCTTTGAGAGGAATTTTACAGACTAGGAATACGAGGTTAAGTCTTTTTGTCATGGTGATTTTAACTGCAAGTTTAGGACAGGCCTTTTTTTTTTTTTTTTTAAATTAAAAGCACTGGAAAGAGAGAGTTTAGGGTCAAAATGTGTGTGGCTTTTCAAGATAAAAACAGACAACACTCCCAAGCCCTGGGGGCTATCAGTCCTCCTTAGTGTCATCAGAGGAAAGGCCTTAAAAAGTTTAAAAGGCTATGGGCCCTGAAGGTATGAAGGTATGAAATGTATCTACCCTGAACTAAACCATTTAATGAAAATGAATAAAACCAAAACACAATTTTTGACACTGAGAGCTGACTCTATGCCTGACTTCCCCCATCTACGCAAAAAAAACAAGTTGGTACAAAACCTTCTATTGCCAAATAAATATTTACTTGAATCTAAACTACAGCACAATTTTAAAGCAATAAACCCAAAGAAACGTGAAGCATGTTTGACTTTGAGGAGCTATAGTTCCAATACTGAATCTGGCATCAAGAGCACGTCCTCTACATGCCTTTAAGAAAAGCAAAACACTACAAGTCAAAGAAAACTCTTTCAATTGGTAACATTTGTCTATTATTTACTGTATGTACATCAGCTGAACTACTGGAAAGCAGCTTAGAGATATGGTGCACTTCACCCAAACACTTCGGTAGGCATCTCCTAAGAATAAACATACCCTCCTACATGATGCCTCCCTCTTATCACACACACGAAAGGTGACATTAATTATATAATATAATATTCAGCCCATATATAAATTTCCCTGATTGCTTATACAAGTGCTTAGATCTGCATCTACTCCCCCAATCCAGTCAAGGCTCCTCTACATATTTGGTTACTACATTTAGAGCGAGACTGAACATTTTTGGCAAGGAGACTGCTCAAGCACTTCTCAGAGCGTCACATCAGGAGGTCCACCATGTCAGGTTGTCCCCAGAGGTAGGAAAGCTTGGTTAGGGTAGTGACTGCTGGCACTCTCCACTCTGCAAGTGCCTTTTTTTTAAATAATAAGTAATTTTTAATTAATAGATTATAGGGTGCGAACATTCTATTCCCACTACCTTATTAACATTCTTATACAGTGGGCTTAAAAACAATGATTTTTTAAATTCATCATTCCACCCAAATTATTAGTGTCCTATTCTAAAGAACTTTCCT